TATTGCAGTAACATTGGTTTATAACATTGTAAAAATTTCAGGTGTACATCATTGTACTTCTATTTCTGCATATGGTACTAATCTTATGGGACCGCCATCGTATATGTGGTCCATCGTTGACTGAAACGTTGTTATGCAGTTCATGACTGTGCTATGAGCATTTTCCAATGTCATTAAATATCCTACCTTCAGTATGCTTCCAATTTTTCACTATTGTAAATTAATATATGATGAACGTCATTGCATATAAACTTTGTACATATCTATGATTATTTTTTAGGATAAATTCCTGGAAGTGGATTTACTAGGTCAAGGGGTATAAATATTTTTAGGGTTCTTGCTACAGATTAATTGGATGGGTTTTGAGGAGGAGAGGAGCAATAATATAATTCTGTTATCAAAGTTCCTAGATATTTATGAAATACAAGTCCTGATCATCTCTGACTTTATACTTTAGTTACTTTTTCTTTTATTGAATCTTTTTCTTTTAAATTTGTATAGGCCTTGGTTCTATGACAAATGAGAATACAATTTATCACATATAAACTGTTTTTTCTTGTTTTTTTTTTGTTAGGAACTTCTCCATAATATCATTTTTTATTCTTCCAGACGTGGGTTGGCAATAAGAGAAGAAAAATGAGTAGTAAGAATTCTGAATCAGGAGCAGCAACAACAGGAACTGTTTCTGGTACCTCTTTGGCAGCTCCAGACATTACAGTCAGAAATGTGGTTAATATTGCTCGACCCTCAAGCCAACAGTCTTCTTGGACATCTGCCAATAATGATGTCATTGTAACTGGTATATACAGTCCAGCCAGTTCCTCAAGCAGGCAAGGGACAACCCAACATACCAATACACAAATTACAGAAACACATAAAATCCCTATTCAGAAAACGGCCAGTAAAAATGATACTGAGTTTCAGTTGCATATTCCTGTTCAAAGACAAGTAGCACACTGTAAAAATGCCTCTCTGCTCTTAGGTGAAAAAACAATTATTTTGTCAAGACAGACAAGTGTACTGAATGCTGGGAACTCAGTATACAATCACACAAAGAAAAACTATGGAAGCTCTTCAATGCAAGCCTCTGAGATGGTGGTACCTCAAAAGCCATCTGTGTGCCACCGACCTTGCAAAATTGAACCAGTTGGAATTCAAAGGTTATATAAGCCTGAACACACGGGTCTAGCATCGCATAATTTATGCGGGCAAAAGCCACCTCTTAGAGACCCTTACTGTAGAACACAAAACTTGGAAATCCGTGAAGTATTTTCATTAGCAGTTAGTGATTACCCCCAGAGAATTCTGAGAGGAAATGCTCCACAGAAGCCTAGTTCAGCAGAAGGAACTTGTTTGTCCATTGCAATGGAGACTGGAGATGTTGATGATGAGTATGCCAGAGAGGAAGAGTTGGCATTGATGGGAGCACAGATACCAAGCTACTCAAGATTTTATGAAAGTGGCAGTTCCCTTCGAGCTGAGAACCAAAGTACAGCTTTGCCCGGACCAGGAAGAAATATGCCAAATTCACAAATGGTGAATATTAGAGACTTGTCAGACACTGTACCGTATCAAAACAGAGACTACCACTTAACACCACGGACCTCATTACATACTGCGTCTACTACAATATACAGTAATACAAATCCATCACGGAGTAATTTGTCTTCACATTTTGCATCATCAAACCAGTTGAGGTTATCACAAAACCAAAACAATTACCAGGTAACGTGTAAGTTTATTTTATAAAGGTTTTTAAAAAGCTTTGTTTCATGTAAAAAGTTGTGTTGGTATCCAGTTAGACTTGAGACTTGGGTCACTTAACTCATATTTTGAAGTAATTTGAGATTTAGAGTAATTTGAAGAATCTTGTACTTTCTTTGTTATGTTTAAAAATGGTGAGTTTTTTTTCATGGAATATAATCATTTTTATAATATGATAGCTTTCTCATGACATTTAAAATGATTTTGTTCAGAAAACAGTAGCCTTATGGGAAGCATGGCATTTCCCATCACTAAAATAGGACTAAATTGGCTTGACTCATCCCCTCAAACATAGATTATTCCTGTAATGATTTTTACTTGCAGTTTGGGGCGATGTCACTAGATGATTGGTGCTTTCCCTGGGTACATAGCCAGGCAAGTCAATTATTTCTCTAGGTGACAATGGCTGAGAAGTCAGAGCCTGTGGTAATTCAGCCAACTGCTTTTTATAAAAGTAAATGCTTTGTTAAAACATTAAGTGGAACATTAATCAAATAGTTTTTAAAAATGTTTATAGGGAAGAGACATATTCAGAGTAAGAAGTAAAGCAATTTTACACCTGTGCATAAAATAGGTGTTATTTCTTTACTGTTTCACATATTCAATTGTTTATGTATGCTTCAAATAATTTCAACGTTAAGGTATAAGCCTACCTCAGGACATCTCTTAAGGCCATAAATCTTATCTCTGAAAATTCTGCTTCAGAGAATTTGAATAGCAGGGCATGGATGTTTGCCATTTTTTCTTGCAACTAGCTAGGCCCTTTAATTTGTTCAACCACAGTATTTAAGTTTTACCTGGATTTCAGATGCTTCCAGTGTTCTCAACCAATATAAAGAACCAACTTCCCTTAGCTCTCTCTATCTTACAGCTCCCTGCTTCAAAATAAAAAGCAATAACAAAGTATAGGAATTATCCCTCTGGCATCTAGCCCTAACAGAAGAGGACTCCATTGTCACCGTTAGTCATTTTTTATTGAGAATCTACTCATTTTCTTGTGTTTGGTCTTTCCTAAGGCATGCTTAAAGTAACATTGGATCATACCATTAAGATTTTCCCCAACACTCTCTTTCATTCACCTACTCTTTTGTACTTCTTTACCCTTTCATTGTTGTTCTTAATAATAGTAATAACAATAACAGTTACCATTTGTTGATGGCCTTCCATGTACCAGGCACCTTCAGTCACTTTATATACCTGGTCTCATTTAATCTTCATGGTCATCTGGACATACAGTAGTCCTCCCTTTCTGTGGTTTTAGTTACCCCAGTCAACCACAGTCCAAAAGTATTAAATAGAAACTTCCAGGAATAAATAATTTATAAGTTTTAAATTGCATGCTGTTCTCAGTAGCATGATAAAATCTCACTCCATCCCACTCTGTCCCACCCAAGAGGTGAGTCATCCCTTTGTGTAGCACATCCATGCTGTATATGCTACCTGACCATTAGTCACTTAGTAGCCATCTCAGTTATCAGATCGACTGTCATGGTACCACAGTGCGTGTGTTCAACTAACCCTTATTTTACTTAATAATGGCCCCAAAGCACAAGAGTAGTGACGCTGGCAGTTCAGATATGCCAAAGAGAAGCTGTAAAGTGCTTCCTTTACTTGAAGAAGTGAAAGTTCTCAACTTAATAAGAAAAAAAATCATATGCTGAAGTTGCTAAGATCTATTGTAACTTTTATTACAGTATATTGTTATAATTGTTATATTTTATTATTAGTTGTTTTTAATCTCTTACTGTGATTAATTTATAAGTTAAACTTTATCATAGGTATGTATGTACTATAGGAAAAAACATGGTATGTATAGGGTTTGGTACTATCCACAGTTTCAGGCATGTACTGGGTGTCTTGGAACGTATCTCCCCTGGATAAGCATTTTATACATATTTAGGCATTTTATACATATTTGCTATATGTATAAATGCCTATACTGTATAGGCATTTTATACATATTTTAATAACCTGTCCAGGATCACACAGCCAGTACATGACAGAACCAGGATTCCAACTCAGAAATATATCACGTGCTTTTTTTTTTCTGCTTTACCATACAGCCTAATGATTTCAACCATATTAGAATATTTGAAGACCTGACAGTGCAGAGTATAATTTTTAATTTTTCATAAGCTGACCACTCCCTTGAGGATAATTTAACCTATGGTTTTATGTTTTTAGAGTCTCTCTTTTCCTGACAGAACTTTTAAAAGAATTAAATTTGTTTTATATGAAAGAACCTTTTAAATGGAATAAAACAACTTTTTTTTGGAATAGTAATCTCTTCAAAGAAAAGCAGTTTGACATAACAATTTAGAGCATGGGCTTAGAGCCTGATAGATCTGGGTTCAAATCTAGGCTCTACCACTTTCTACTTGATTGACCTCAGGAAAGTGACATAACCTCTCTGTGTAGTGGTTTCCTCGTTTGTATAATGTCATTAATAATATTTTTCAGAAATGCTGTGACATGAAATGACACAATATGTACAAGGTTCCTTGTACATTCCCTGGCACATAAATTTTCTTTTGCTTATAACCTCACAGTTGGAAAGTTAATGAAACTCTGCCTATCCGGGTCTTCTTTACATTTCATTTCAAGTAAAATATTACAGAGCCCACAATTGTCACAGGTTAGTTGAGGAAGAAATAGCTGTAGTGCTGGCTGAGATAAGACTGGAATTCAGCTATCAACCTCACCATAATCTACGTATTAAAAGCCCATGTATTTCTATTTGTATTATACCAGACCTCCTTCAACTTGACCTAAGACAGTATGGTAGAGAATGTTTGCAGAGAACCCTCGGGGCATCACTTTGCCCCACTTTCTTTTAATAGTTGAGATTTGGGGAAACCAAGGCAACCTGGGGAAGTGTAGTCCATGAAGATTAATGCCTTAGTCCATTTGGGCTGCTATAAAAAAAAATACCATAGACTGGGTGGTTTAAACAACAAACATTTATTTCTCACAGTTCTGGAGGTGGGGAACCCCGAGATCAAGGTGTTGGCAGATTCTGTGTCTTGTGAAGGCCTGCTTCCTAATTCATAGATGGCTATCTTCTCACTGTGTCCTCATATGGCAGAAGGGGCAAGAGAGGTCTCTGGGGTCTCTTTTGTATTGGAACTAATCTCATTCATGAGGGCTCCATCTTTATGAGCTAATCACCTCCCAAAAGCCCCACCTCCAAATACCATCACGTTGGAGATTAAGTTTCAACATATGAATTCCGCTGGGACACAAACATTCAATCCATGCTAGTTATCCTCCAAGGTTTTGATGCAGCTCTATTACCAAGCTGTATTACTGTTAGATCAGGACTTAGAAAAATAGAACCTATAACCATCTTGGCAACTTTCTAGTGATGAAACTATAAGCAAGCAAGCAATTCTCTTTAGTTTCTGACCCTGGGACTATAGAAGAGAAATATCTGCCTCTTCTTTATGTTACACCAGGTATCTTCAAGCTGAAGTCCTATTCCTGGAGGATAATCTAGTTTCAAGCCATCTAGGAGAATGAATACAAATTCAGGAAATCCTAGAAGAATGCTAGGAAGTTGAAATTAGCTCTGTTTTGGAGCCACTTGGGAATACCATATTAAGAGTTGAAGTGGTCAGGAGGTGGCTATACCAGGATACAATAGCTCAGTTCTATTTCAAAAACTCTCTAGGCTAACCTCACTCCTTTAAGGTAAGATTGTAACCATATTTGTCTCCAAAGTGCCATTCACTTTTCATATTAACTCTACATCAGACCATCTATTTATCATAAGAGTGCTGTGATGGTTAAGGATTAATAATTGATGATCATCTATATAAAGAAATTGGAGCGTTTTGGAAGACAAGTACTATAAACACAGGATTTTTATTGCAATTATTATTTATTTTTATTGAGGTAACATTGGCTTCTAATATTATATAAATTTCAGCTGTACATCATTATATTTTGACTTCTGTGCAGAATACGTCTTGTCCACCACCCAAAGGCTAATTACCATCCATCACCATACACATGTGCCCAGTCACCCCTTTCACTGTCCTGCCTCCCGCCTTGCATTCTGGTAACCACCAGTCTAATCTCTGTATCTACATGCTTGTTTATTGTTGTTATTTTTATCTTCTATTTATGAGTGAGATCATATGGTATTTGACTTTCTCAGTCTGACTTATTTCGCTTAGCATAACACCCTCAAGGTCCATCCATGTTGTCACAAATGGCAAGATTTCATCTTTTTTTATGGCTGAGTAGTATTCCATTGTGTATATATACCAAATCTTCTTTATCCATTTGTCCCTTGATGGGCACTTAGGTTGCTTCCAAGTCTTGGCTATTGTGAATAACGCTGCAGTGAACATATGGGTGCATATATCTTTATGCATTTCTGTTTTCCTGTTCTTTGGATAAATACTCAGCAGTGGGCATTCTTGTCTGGTTCCTGTTTTCAAAGGCATAACTTTCAGTTTTTCTCCATTGAGAATGATATTATCTGTGGGTTTGCCGTATATGGCCTCTATTATTTTGAGGTATTTTCCTTCTATATCCCTTTTATGCAGAGTTTTGATGATAAATGGCTGCTGTATATTGTCAAATGCTTTCTCTGCATCTATTGAGATGATCATGTGATTTTTATTCTTCATTTTGTTAATTTGGTATATCACATTGGTTTATTTGCAGATGTTGAACCATCCTACATCCCTGGAATAAATCCAACTTGATCATGATTTATGATATTTTTAATGTATTATATTCAATTTGCTAGTATTTTGTTGATGAATTTTTTTTTTTTTGGTGAGGAAGATTGGCCCTGAACTAATGTCTGTTGCCAATCTTCTTCTTTTTGCTTGAGGAAGATTGTCCTTGAGCTAACATCTGTGCCAATCTTCCTCTGTTTTGTATGTGGGATGCTGTCACAGCATGGCTTGATGAGTGGTGTATAGGTGTGTGCCCAGGATCCAAACCAG